GACGCAGGTGAGGTTTTTTCGAAAAAAGGCTACTTTTTTCAAAAAAAACCCTGAGTCTGGACACAGCCTAAGTGTGCACACCATCACATACAGCCCTATCCCCAGGTCATCAGCAGAGTTTGAACCTGGGATCTTCATTACCATTTACAGCTTTTTATCATACTTGAGTTAAAGTAGTAACTCAGGGTTCATCTACACAGTAGTGTGTAGCTCAAAATAAGCTACGCAGTTTGAGCTACGCAAATTGCATAGTTTATTTCGAGATAGCCTATATCGAGATTTAACACTGTTTAAACAGTGCTAATTTCAAAACAGAGTGCTATTCTAATGAATCCCTTATGCAACAAGGTTTATGGGATGTTGGAATAACAAGCCCATTATTTAGAATGTATTTCAAAATAACAGACTTGCTGTTAAGACATGCAGAACGCTATTTAAGGATAATGGACGCTATCCCAAAGTAGCGCCACTGTGTAGACATATCCTTGGTGAGCTGCATATTGGCTATGAGCCTCTCCATAGATTATCCATTAGATGGGGACAGAAAAAAAATACTTTGTAAGCTTGTTCAATGTCATAACTTTTTTTTAAAACAGTACTCTCTATTGAAATTAGCTGGATGTTCTTTTTAAAACACAATGATGCAATCTGTCCATATACAAGAGTAAGCCATACCCTTGCCTATAAAGCAGTTTCACCTGCCTTCTTATCTCTGAAAGGCAGTATTGAGAAATTGACAGATTGATGGGATTGACATTAAGAGCAGCCAAGTAAAAGAATCTGCCCTAGGGTACAAACTAACCTTGTTTGTTTCAGCATATTCCATTCATGCTCCATTTATGCCTTACCTGAGGGCTACTGGATTGTCATTGGCAAAGGATTTACACTCTACTTTGACATATGTTAACACTTTCAATATGGTAATTTCTTTCATAAAGATCCATAATCATATCTGTCATAATTGCTCTGTGGATACCGGATTCTACAGACCCCTTTCTTTCTGTTTTATGAGAAACAGTCTAAATCCTGACGTTTGAGTTATGAGAAGAGGAAGATGCATAGAAATTTGGTGGTCCTAGCTCTTACAGTTTAGGAGTAGTTCTTGAACAAACAGACTCACAGATGGATAGACAGACTCACATTTCTAAACTATGCGGTAAGATTTAGTTATTAACACCATTCTGTTGTTTCATTAGGAATGTTTTGCCGGTGCCTTTTTTTAGTGATTTTTCCGAGTGCTTTTTTCCCTGAACATTAGTAAAATGTAGCTTGAGCAAAGGCCAACAATACAGAAGAGACCTTTCAAAAAGCAAATTCTTATGCAATAAGATCTGATCCAGCAAAGCATTCAAGCATGTGAGTATTTCCAATAGGCCTGATCTGGCCCACTGACAGGGGGAGACAAAGAGAATGGCTGGGGGGGGGGGCCCGCATGCCACTACTCTGGCAGTGGTGACTCCTGGAGCTGCAGGCTTTTTAAATCACTCCTGCAGCACCCTGTGGTTTGCTCTGGGCTCCACTGAGGGATGGGGCAGGAGGGGAACTTTAGTCTGGGCAGCACTGAGTGCTGGCTGCCACCAGCCCCTCACTTTCCTGGAGTGCAGAACTGGGCCTCCCTCACTTTGCCCAGGGTCCTGGTGAGGTTGTCAGCTCCCCTGGACCTGGTCTAAAGGCAGAATTAAGCTGCTATCTCTAATTTCAGCAAGCCTTGATTTGGGCCTATTGATTTCAGTGGGGAAACATCCATGATTAACTGTTTTGCTGTATCACGATGTAAAGCAATAAAGACAATTCCTTGTCTGACTATCTGGCTGCCTTCACTGTGATCACTAACCCTGGATCACTTTATATTTATTTTGTTGCAGGGAAGACATGCAGTTGAAGACACCTCACAGTAAAATAAACGGACAGCCAAAAGGGATTTCCAGGGCAGATTGTCGACTGGGTTCAACATCAAGTTTCCAGGGGGGCCCGGTCAGTCCTGCTAGACACTCAAACGTTAAGAAGGTATCTGGCGTTGGTGGAACAACCTATGAAATTTCAGTGTAAAATTAGGAGGCGGGGGTGAGGGAA